TGTGGGGTGGGGTAAGCCGCAGGCATCTGTTGCAGCTGCGCCTGGCAATCACCAGTGACTCTGACCTGATACACACCTACTGAGAAAATTGCTGTTGATTCCATTTTCAAAAAATGCTGTGGCTGGGGTGTAGCTCAGCATAGAGCATGTATTTAGCACACGTGGAGCCTAAGTTTGGTCCCAGCACGCCCACCTCACATATAGCTGCAATCCCAGGGAAATTCAGAGGGGTGAAAAGACATCCCTTCAAGGACATGAGGCACATGCCCGGGACTGAAACAAAATGCGAGCTCCTTTACCTTCGGACAGCATGTTAGTCAGTTTTTCATCAAAATATCTGACAATGACAACTTTTAGAAGAGGAAAAGTTTATTTTGACTCATGGTTGCTGAGATTGAGTCTGTGGTGGGGCGACTCCTTTGCTCTGGGCCCAAGGTGAGGTAGGAGGACATCATGTGGGCGGGTGTGTTGGAGGAAGGCTGCTCCACTCAAGGCAGCCAGGAAAGCGGAGAGAAAGGGGGAGGAGCCATAGGGAAGATGCACCCTTCCAGGGCACGCCCCCAGGGACCCACCTTCTCCAGCCGCACCCCACCTGCCTGCAGTTACCACCCAGTCAGTTCTTCAAACTAGGATGGACCCAGTACATTGCAGCCCCATAATCTAATCCTTTTGCCTCTGAACATGCCTGCACTAACACAGGAGCACTGGGGACACCTCCTATCCACACTGGAAGAACACACCAGACAGGGCTGGCACCGCCTGTGACTCGTTTGTGGTTTTTCCTGGGATTCTCCAAGTGACAGCCTACCCCACATCAAGGCTCTTTGCCTATAAGAAAATGAGAATGGCCGGCTTTTCCTCTCAGAGAACTTGGCCGCCTCCTTTCTTGCTGCCCCTTTCACACATGAAAACATTCAGACTCATGGGGAAGAAGCACACGGCGGGGGTGATGAAGGAAGCAGAGAGATTGGAGATCACTGTGGACCCTGCAGGCCACCTCTGGATCCTATGGAACCCCAACTTGAGGATGAGTGATTAGCACAAGCTCCCTGAGAGCTGGCCAGCCCTGCGCAATGCCCAGCAGCTGTGAGCGGACCATGAGTAAAGTCAGTTGCTCTTGGATGATAGATGAAGAAATGAGAGGGGCAGTGGCTATCCCTGAGCAGGACGTGTTCCCCTCTCCCCATCCTCTCTGGGTGTGACACCGGCATCTGTATCTGCTCAGCTCCAGAGCCTGGCCGGGGACCTGGGGGCCCAGAGCAAACACGCTGAGCCACGGCTGGGTGCCAGGCACGTCCATGCTCTACGAACGGTTCATCAAGAGCCTGTGCGAGTTGTCGCAATTAAACTCAACCCACCCCCCTCACCAAGGAAAACACCCCAACTTGCTTAAAAGAGTGAGAATTCACAAAACCAAATATCACGTTTATGGGGATGTGTTTTGTGGCTTCCAAACTATGAAAGTAGAATCCAGGAGAAGAGGGGAGAGAGAGTGGTTTGACCCTTTCCTGTCAGGGAGATGTGGGTCCTGGGCCTCCCCATTGCCACCTCTTGGCACCACCAATTTCAAACTCTCAAGGAAAATGAGGTCACTGGTGGACAGTGGTCTTACTTTTTTCAATTATTTTTCCTTTTCTACGGTGCTGGGATTGAGGCAGGGCTTTGCACGTGCCAGGCAGCCCTCTCCCACTGCGTGAGACCCCAGCTGGACAATTATCTGTCTGGGCCTAAAGAGTCTCACCTGGGCGTGGAGAAACATCCATTGTTACTCAGCAAAGGCGAGGGCTGCCTTGGTGGAGGCATCCATTAAGGTCACATGGAAGGTACTGTGTCCACACGTCTTTTTGTTGTGGGTGCTGGGATTGAACCCAGGACCTCACACGTGCTGAGCACGCACTCTGTGTCCCCAGCTTCTCTGTATTTTCTCTCTTTCTACCATTTCCTTTTCTCCTCCCTCCTTTCTGTCCATCCTTTCTCTTTTCCTTCATATTCCTTCTGGCTGAGGTGGAAGAGGGTGGTCACATGACATTGAGTAGGTGGCAAGGTGCCGTTGACTCCCAGGGCCCTGGTCTGTTTGTGACAGTCAATTGTGAAACAGCTGCACATGGGGAACTGCGGGCCAAATCCCTAAAGGATATGATCAAGCAGAAAACACCAGGCTGGTTCAGCCTGAGGACATGTGCTTAGAGGGGGACCCTTTTGGTTTGCATCACCTTGAAGCCCACAAAGGCCAGGTTTGTGCAGAACAGACAGCGAGGGGGGGCTGTAGCATCAGCTTTTTCTGGAGTGTTTGCAGGAGAGCAAAGGCGCGGGAAGAGGTGGAGAAGAATCTGGGAGAACTGAGTTAGAAAAGTGGCACAGATTTCACCCTTCTTATTTTGGAATTTTTTGATTTTACTTTATTTATTTTGCTGTACTAGGAATTAAACCCAGGGGCCCTCTACCACTGAGCTACTTCCCCAGTTCTTTTATTGCTTATTGTGAGACAGGGGGTTGCTAAGTGGCCCAGGCTGGCCTGGAAGCTGAGACCTGCCTGCCTCAGTCTCCTCTGAGATTACAGGTGTGCACCACGGTACTCAGCTTTGGAGTACTTTTAGATTTCCAGAAAAGTGCCAAGATAGCACAGCATTCCCACCTGCCCTCCGCCAGCTCCCCCAAGGTGAACAGGTCTCACAGAAACATGGTGCATTTACCAAAACCAAGAAACCAACACCAGTGCAGATCTGCATTTCACTGGTTTTCCCAACGATGTCCTTTCTCTGTTTCAGGAACAGATCTGGGTTCCCAGGTTATGTTTAGCTATCATGTTGTCCTTACAGGTTCTCAATCTTTTATCTTCATCATAACCTTGACACTTTTTAAAAAAAATATGTTATTTTTTAGTTGTAGTTGCCACAATACCTTTATTCTACTTATTTATTTTTATGTGGTGCTGAGGCTTGAACCCAGGGCCTCATATGTGCTAGGCTAGTGCTCAACCGCTGAGCCACAACCCCAGCCCTGACCTTGACACTTTTTGAAGAGTAGAGGCCAGATATTTTACACAGATTTATTGTATTTGTAAAAATCTGTCAGAGGGCATGGGTGAGTGAATTACAGCTTCTGGGACAAATCCGGGCTGAGGTCTGGTTTTGTGTGGCCCTCAAGCTAAGAATGGCTTTCACATTTTTAAAGTGGTTGAAAAATCTAGCTGTTGTTGCTGGCACACATCTGTAATTTGAGCAACTTAGGAGGCTGAGGCAGGGGGATCACAACTTTGAGGCTAGCCTCAGCAATTCAACAAGCTCTTGTCAGAAAGTTCTGGGGGGTTCTGAGGATGTAGCTCAGTGAGAGAGTGCCCCTGGGTTCAATCCCCAGTACTGCAAAACTAAAACCAACAAAAAACCTTTAATAAATCCAAAGAAGCATATGTCATGATACATGGAAATCATCATGAAATCCAAATTTCAGTGACCATAAATAAAGCTTGGATTGGAAAGCAGTCACAGTTACTCTTTCCTGTAGTATCTAAGTGACATTTGTGCTATGACTGCAGGACTAGGAAGTTGTGACAGAGACCATTTGACCCAAAGAGCCTCAATATTGACTCTCAAGCCCCTTATTGAGAGCTTGCCAATCCTGGTGCAGAGGGCCCTGTGAGGACCTGAAATTCACTTTGATTCAAAAGCTAAGTCAACTGTTAAAAGAGGACTGAAGTTTCAAGTTCACTCATGTAATGATTTCAGAGGAACTTACTCAGGGCCCATGGTCAAAACTAGGAGAGACCTTAGTTTGAGCAGGTGTGAAGCAATGCTTAAACTCGGGAGCTGGGAGAGGTTAATTCTCTCCAAATGTCTTCCCCGCTCTCCAGAACAGTCTCTGCCTGTGATAAGAATAGCTGCTGTCAGATTTGGAGCACTACCCTGTGCCAGTATTGCTTTATTTGCACTGTCTCTTTTAATCCTCACAACCACCCAGGAGTTGTTCAGGAGGAAACTGAGGTTGAAGGGCTCAGCCACCCGCATGGGGCACAGAGAGCCATGAACGACACAGAACAGGAGCCCAACTGAGTCTGCGAGTCTGCAGTCTCCACAGTGGCCACCCTCAGAGGGGCCTGGGGTGAGGGGAGAGGCCTGGGGCTGGGGGAGGCTCTCAGTGCTTATGGAAGGCCACTGCTAGTCCCTGTGTTCCTGACCTTCAAGTAACAACCACCCAGAGGCCCTGCTGTCAACCGTGGTCACTTTATAAAAACATCACAATGTGCTTTTGGGTGGTATTAGTGGTTGGTCCCTAAGTCTTGATACATAAGCTCAGTGACACTGTCTTTTGTCTCTTTGTTGTCCCCTGCTGTTGTCTCGGCTCTGCCATTCCTGTTGTTGGAGACTCTGAGCTTTCTGTGCTGCCTGTCCCCTCCCTTGGGCTAGGGTGCTGATGCCCAGGCTCTTCTCTGAGGCTAGGCCTGTCTGGGGTGGGAAGAGCAGGGACCTTCAAGGGGTTAAAAGGGGACACTGTCTAACTCTGCCTCTGTCAAAGAAGTCAAGAGGCAATAAAACCAAGGCCCCTGCTGATAGAGGTCTCAAGGTGGGAAGGGCCCTGCCAGGCTGGGCTGGAAGTGGGCTGGGAACGCCACTGATATCCATCCTACAGTCGCAGCTATTTTAGCCTTCCTAGAAGAACAAACATAACCAGGACTTCGCCTCCCTACACCATGGCTGGATCAGCCCAGAAAGAGCATTGCAGCCTGGGTTTCATAGTGGTCCCAAACTCTACCAGGTCCAACTGATCCCGGTCAGCTCTGCTCAAGACAGCTGTTCCAATATATGTAGTTTGATAAGATCAAAATGGAAGGGCACCAGATTTAATGAAAGAAGCCCCTGATTGGTGTCCATGCTTGTCCAATTCTGAATTATTTTTTAAAGAGAACAAGAAGTCATTCGTGAGTTTCCTGTTCCCTAAAATGTCCCTGGAAACTTTTTATCTGGCTTGGTAATATATCTCCTAAGTCCTTAGCAGCTGCAAAATTGATGTATAAAGCTTGTTTTTATTTTTGTGCTTTTTTTAAAGAACAAAATGTAAACGAGGTTGCAGAGCCCTGGTGACATGCTCTAACAAGCAGGCGCCTACAGAACCTTGGCTCGCACCATCTGCCCCAAGGTCGCTGTGACACAGCCTGGTTTGGGGCAGATGGTTCCTTCCGTTCCATGTTCCAGGGTGTTCCAAAGACTCACTATGCCAAATTTTCAACTGGACACGAGGCAGTGAGAAGGCTCAACACAGGAAGTGGCAGCTGCTGCTGCTGGGTTTCTCTCCTGGGGACTGCTCCTTAGGAGAGTGGCACTTTGTCTTGGTGCTGGTTTTTCTGGGAAATGCGCAGGTTGGGGTGTGGGTGTGCTGGACTGAGCACGCTGGATGGAAGCACTGGACATGTTTGCCTGACCAAGGCCTCAGAAACGATGACAAAGCTCTAAGATCAGAACCTAACCTTCCTCTGCTTACACTGTGATGCTGTGCTATTTCTGAGGCCAAAATACCACTGTGAACTTAGTGATGATGTCCCCTACATGTCCTTGGAGCTGAGGAACTAGCCCCTGCTTTTGCCCACTATCTGTCCTGAAGCCAAGCAGAGTGTGAGGTGGTGAAGCGACCACAACCCTGCTGGTTAGTCTGAGGTGCAAGGGGAGGTACTGGCCCACAGGAGTGGGGCTGCACGGGGCTCTGGCCCAGGTGCAGCACAGGGCTCCAGCTGCTTCTGTATTCCCTCTGGCAGTTGCCACCGGGGATACGCATGGCCAGTGGTGCTCATCTTAACAGCCACACACAACTGCTTGGGTTTTTGCTGAGAAAATGCCACAGTTGGTGACTCTCAGGAGCCCAGAGCACCCAGCACCTCCTCCCCAGCTTCACAACAGGCAGAGCTGATCCATACTGAGTCACATTAGGCCAAGGGGCCAGGTGACACTCCAGGGGAAGGGAATAGGGCCACTGACTATCATTTCCCTGGACCACTCATGTCAACAGGAAGGTCTGTTGCTGGCTGAGACCCGCTGTATCCTATGCAAACCCATCCAGGAAGAACTGCCTTAGATGAGGCACGAAGACAGTCCTCGGTGTCCAGCCACCATGTACACCCAGCTGCTAGGGCTGTTCTTGTCTCCGCCCACTTTTCTATTTCAGAAACACTGGAATGTCCAACTTAGCAAATTCCAAAGCTTAAAAGAAATTTTCTTTTAATGTCTAAATGTTCTGAAGATTAGAGTGGGGGTAGGGAAACAAACGCAGAAAAAGTAATGCTTCTTGGAAAATGCACGCACAAGTCCTTTGTGCTTCAAACATTCCTCACAGCTTCACTGACCATATCATCCAGAATCCTCTGCAATGGTTAAGCCAAGAATTTCAGTCGCAAATATTTCCGCAGTGATTTCGTCTGGAAGTTCTTCTTTGAGGCAAATTTTTGAGCCTGGCCAAACAAGAGGAGAAAACCAAATGCCTTCCACTAATGAGGCTTCTAACACAGAGGACGTTCCAAAAACACAAGGGGAGACACCAAACAAGAGCAAGAGGTGCTCTGTGCTGTGGTTTGACTTTGACCTTTTGAAAACCACTGGATGGAAACCAGTTCAAATCTCTCCTTTAACCAAATCTCTGCAATCTTTGATAGAAACCCTTGACCATCATTGACTGTTTCAAGATTCCTAGAAACAAAAGGTAAATATCTAATGATCGGGAAAGCCATGTTCTGAGATCCAAAGTACACAAAGGAATGAGTAGCCATCAGATACCGAATTCCAGAATTTTCTGAGTTCAGGAACTTTGTTAGATTCTGGGGGAGGGAGGTGGGGTTGTGGCTCAGTGATAGAGTGCTCGTCTAGCATGCATGAGGCACTGGGTTCGAACCTCAGCACCACAATAAATGTAAAATAAAGATACTATGTCCACCTAAAACTTAAGAATAAATATTTTTAAAAATTTAGATTCTGGGAATGGACAATAAAAGAAGGTGTGGAATTAGGGAGACAGGCAGGGAAACTTTGTCACAGTACGTAGCAGCCCTGACCACTGGGGCGTGTTGTTGGAGACATTCCAGCCCAAGAAGGCCCAGAAGGGCTGTTTGGATTGGTTCCTCCTGAGTGTAAGTTCAAGCAGCGTTTCAGGCTAGTGGACTAAAAGGAGAGGGTGGAAAATCGGGGAAGGCCAAGAAGGAGGATCCCATTTACTTATTTATTTATGTACTTGTTAATTTATTTTCTGAGTGCTGGGGGAGCAGGCTCTAGTATGCCAGGTGACACTAGGCCAAGGCTCTAACATGGAGCTACACACCAGCCCAAGACGGTCCCGAAGCACTCTAATGTTCTCACAGCTTGAAGCTGGGCTTGTGCCACCACCAAGCTGTCGTCTCTCCTTATCTGTGTCTCCCTGTCAATAGTCTTGTCTTGAAGCCGTTGCCACACTGCACCCTCTACTAGTGGCTGGTGTTCACCCACTTAACGCAGAAACCCCTTGACTAATGGGATGAAGAACAGGTCGGTGAACTAAAGGGAAGAGCAAGGCCAGGAGACACAAAAGGACAGCAGAGGACAGAGGCAGACGCTCTGGTCGGCAGCCAGAGCCCCTGCACACGGCTCCTCATAATTTATTCAGGTGGGACTCCCAGCAGGCTGACTTTGTGGAGTGCACAGTCTTAAGGAGAGTGGCTTGTGCCAGTCAGGAGAGATAAACACACTTAAGTCTACAACAAATTAGTAAGCCACCAGCTGCATGCCCAGACAGAGCAGGCCCCAGTACCTTTGACAGACGAGGCCGCAGGCTCCGATTTCCACCCCTCAGGATTCAGGCCAAACAGTGTGGCAAAGCAGTCATGCATCTCCTCCTCTGTCATGTGCTCACCTGGGCGTCAAAGAGCAAAAAGAGGCTTTTCAGCTCTGGGGGCCAAGCACAAGATCTGAGTTTGGGATCATCAAGCCAAGGTCTCAGCTTCCACTCTTTAAGGTGTTCAGTTATTCTGCCATTCTCTTCTCTTTACACACAAAACACTTAGGAGAGTCCCATTCACTGTCAGAGCACTTCCTCAAGTGATGTTAAAAGTGTGCTCCCATCAGGGAGATATGCTGGGGCTTGTAGAGAGAAATAAGGCAACTTGCAGAGAGACTGCCCAGCTTTATCTTCAAGTTCCCTTCAGAACCCCCCAATTAGACTCACAGGAACCTCCCCTTCCTCCGAGAGAGAGCTGACTTGACCCCCCCACATAAAATAATGTGGAAGACAGCAGGTAAACATAAAAGCTTACTTTGGCGCAGTTTTATTTCCCGAATATATCCCAATCTGATGCTAGCCCTGTGAGAGTGATAAGCTGGCATTTGAATCCCCATTTTATATGTGAGGATGATGAAATTGGCAGTTTCCGGAGGCTGGGACATGAACCATGTAGGGTCCCTGCCCTTACCCCACACTTGCTGGACATGGAATACAGTCACAGCATCCTGCATGGTTGAAAGGCTCTCAAATGACTATTCTTTCACGATGGATGGAGATCCCAGGGGTCTGTCTTACCTAGGTTGGTTCTCCCTACTTAGAAAAACCCAAGGATGCTACCAGAGACCCCCTTCATGTATCTACCTTTAGTTAGGAGCAGTTCCAGGAAATCTTCTCTCTGAATAGCCTTTTCTCCTTTGGAATTGGTATAACCAAGAACTTTAAAGCTCTCCTGGATGCCACTCATGGTGTTACCGAAAGGTGGCCTGTGGTTAAGGTAAATTTTGAAGAAATCTGGTAGATTGATTTTGTCAATTAGCTTTCCAGTGTCCACGTATTTACTAAATTTGATTTCATTAAACATGTCATCAATCTAGGGAAGAAATTTAAGAAAAAAAGATCATGGTAAACAGGAAAGACACTTTGTTGTTATACTTCTAAAAATTGAAAAGGAAAAGACTGGAATTCACAGTCAACTTGGAACAAGTCTGTTAGAGTAAAATTGTGCCCCCAGAAAGATATGTTGAAGTCCTAACCTTCGGGACCTTATTGGAAATACAGGTTTTGCAGATGTAATTAGTAAGACGAGGTCATTCAGACACTGTGGCACACGCCTATAATCCCAGCTACTTGGGAAGCTGAGGCAGGAGGATCATAAATTGGTAGCCAGTCCTGGCAAATAAGTGAGACTCTTTCCTAAAATAAAAAATACAAAGGCCTGGGGTGTATGTAACTCAGGGGTGGAACACTCCTGTACACACACAGATGCACAAAGATGAGGCCACACTGGAGTAGGCAAGGAACACCCAGGGCGGTCCTGTGAGGCAGAGACTAGACTGGGAAAGCTTTAAGCCAAGGAATTGCAAGGGCTTCAAGCAACCACTAGAAACTAGAAAGGGCAAAGAAGGATTCTCCTCTGAGGGTTTTCCAGGGAAGAATGTGGCCCTGCCGAAACCTTGACTTGGAATTCTGAGAGAATAATTCTGTTGTCTTAGCAGGCACTGGGCCCTGGGTGCAATGCTCAGCACCCAAATTAATTAATTAAAATCTCTGTTGTTGTAACCACCCGGTTTGTGTACTCTACTAGAGCTGCCCTAGGCCCGTCAGGCTTGTCAATACTACAAGGACTGGCAGGAACACTTTTTCACT